GATCCTGTGTCTAACGGACTCGATGAGCTTTGGATCAGCTGGGTTCCCGACTGCGTCGGTCACGTAGAATGCATTTAGAGCCATGTCTCTTGTGGTTGAGATCTCAGCCCTCGTCACGTTCAGGCCATTCTCTCGGAAGGTCCTCGTCACATCGGCTAAAAGCCCTGGCCTGTCTGTTGTGCATAGCTCTAACCTCATACCCTAAATTGGACAATCAGTTACTCAGTTTCGTGTTTGCAAGAAAAACTAAACTGAATACAACAAGAAAGTTGAAATGGATAGTTACCTCAGAAGCTCTTCTTTGAATAGCAGCTTGTAAGCATTGAATAACCCGCTGCCTTTCGGCTTCGGAACTGATCGGTGTTCCATCCGTGTGTCTAATGTAGAATTCCTGAAAAACCCGAGTCGAAAAAGTTCATATAAGTTATAAATTCAAGCTATGTATTCTACATAACAATGGTTAGTTTTGAACTCATGTATAGAGAATATCATTTTTACCAAATATGCTCGTTCTTCTGCAGTCTTGATTGTGGCATGAAACACCACATATTCCATGTCTGTCAAGGTAAAGATTACATCGAATAACAGCTTCGTTCGATCTTTGCATTGAACATTCACGACCGAGTAGCCCCTTTCGGTCCAGTTCTGAACCGTGACAGCGGGGGAATCAGCATTCAACTTCAAGATAGGCTTCCTCTCGTAGTCACGATCAGCAAACATCATTTGATGCAGTCTCCTTTCGGTGTGTGTGACTGCCATAGAGACCGAAGTCTTAGCGCTACGAATGTCGTTATCTCCCTTAAGGACGCTCCTCAACCGTGCAACGATGATGTCGATTTTCTGTCTGTCTTCGATGGGGGAACCCGAGTTGCAGTCCTTGACATAGATCAAGGAAGCAATCCTGCCATTGTGAGTCCAAACCTTGGCGTCCACCACATCACATTGCAGATCAGCTAGAACAGCAAACACCTCTGAAAGAAGACCGACTCGGTCGGTCCCAGTGAGCTCCAAAGCCGTGGTAACACCATTAAACCCTTCGCTCCTCTGATAATGAGTCGTCCCAAGTGACTGCCATACAAAACACCCAACACCCAGATCGAAAAATGAGTTTCACATCACACAACCAGCAACAACAGAACATCCATAATATGAGTTGAGTATTCAATCAATAACGAAACAAACAACTAACGTATCATGATTTGAGTTCATAATTCAATCAGTAATGGAAACAAACCAACAAATCAACAGCTAAGTCACCTGTTCGAGGTAGCTAATCACGCTCTCATCAGTCAGTTTCTCGCCGTTCTGATCGGTAACATGAAACACTGCAATCCAAATTGGGGGAAACAGCCATTAAAATACATTCAAACAGTGGGGAAGAGCAGGGGAAAAAGTTATTCGTCTCCTCACCATCCATAAACCATCTTCCATCTGAAGAAACATAGGCTTTCTTGATCGAAAGATTTAGATCAGTGAGAACCTGTACGGCCTCCAAGAGATTTCCATATCTTCTAGCACTGTCAACCTGAATCAAACACAGGCAAAAGGGAAGTTTCAGTCACCGAATAAAAAAAAAAAGTTTCAGAAGAAGAGAGAATGAACGTTGTAATGGAGATTTTATTTTACCTTCACCAGAGTGGCCGTAGAGCAGGCGCCATTGTCAATCACAACCCTGAAAAATCCAAATCCAAATCAGAGATTAGGAAACAGAGGAAGGGAAAATTTCTCAAGTGGGGTTGCGAAATTTCCACCAAAATCACAGAGAGAGAGTGGATTTGCTCGTAAAATTGAACAAACAACGAAAACCCGATTCAAACCTGGGAGTGTTCATCCTTATGACAAGCTTTTCGTACTCATCGAGACAAGAGGGCCATTCCATCTCCATCATCATCTTCTCCGAAAACCGAAAGAAACCCAAACCGGAAACACGATTCAAGTTTGAAAAACGAAACTCCTCAGGGTTATTAAATACGGGTCAAGAAAATCGAAGAGACCCAGATAAGGACGATCTTGGGGCCGAATGAAACAAAGAATTGAAGAACAAGAGAAGAGGGCTTTAAACTCTCCGAGTGAATCGACTAAAGGGCTTCGACAAAATCGCCATTAACACTGTCTCTTTCAGTTTTCGGAAGCTTCTCTCTCTCTCTCTCTTCTGTAAATCAATCGCTCTTCTCTTCCGATTCCGCTGAGGCACGCCTTGGGCTTTAAATCTCCCCGCCCTCTTGGGCACGAACATTAATTTTATATAATATCGAATCAAATCCACAAATTCTTTCCTTTTTCTCTCGTTTCTTCCAATTGGCCGAATATAACTGCTCTCTCTGTTTCTATTTCCTTACCTTAGCCTGCCCGGATCCTTTTGTTTCCTTTTTTTCGAAGAGTAAATGCTGCCCGGATTTCATTAATTTTTTTTAACTGCCCTTTTGTTTTCTGTCGCATAATTACGTTTCGTGTTTAAAATATTTGATGGGCAAATTTCTACAACTGGTACAATTAATATTGTGTTGTGACTTTTTTTCTTTAATAAATTGAGATGGTAACTACAATATTTTCTTTCTTTGAGCATAGTTTCGTCCCAATTAACTGAACTATGTAAGTAATTTAGAGTAGAATTTCACTGTTCAATGGATCTGTAGTTTGGTTATAATACAATTTTAAAATTTAATTTTATGTGCCAATTTGAATATAAAATGTCAAAGGTTCAATCTCATTCTCACATTTATTACCTTACAAGAAAAAAATTTAATTTTATGTAATTATAATTTACTTATCCAACTAATTACAATATATATTTAATAGACAAATTTTAGTCGTTGAGTTAATTTCAAATAGATTATTTTTATTCTAGTTTATGTTTTTAAGTTATAAATTGTTGATGTCAAATTTTGGAGAGATCCACATGTTCTTTGGGTCGTCGACGAACAAATGATTCTCGATACAGTATCCTGCCTGCCTATATTTTCCAAAGATCAAGTCAAGAAGATACTAGAAGGTACGATAGAAATTTAGTGACAAAATTTTCACTTCAGGTGGAAAGTTGAATTTGTTGCACTTAAAAAAAGGGCTAATATTAGAATTTGATTGCAAGACAAATAACTTTGTTTTTGTTGGTAGCTAAACCATCCAGCAAGGATGCCACGTGGGCGCGTGACGTGTACGTTTGCTTGCGAATGACTCGATAGTATTCTTGGAGCTACCAACAAAAGAGGGAAGTTGGTTCGGTCCAGCTGGCAAGTGGGGCCCAGTCACCCGAAAAAACAAGACCTCCGATTTTGCCGACCAAAATTATGCCTCCGCACGTGCGACACCGCTCGCATCTGCCCCATTTATTTTATTCCTAACATGTCCACGATCGCCCTCCATTCAGTACACATAACAGGAAGGGTAAAAGAGTAAATTAAAGTCCGAATGAGCATAAGGGTAAATGAGTAATTTTATAAGAAGATCCGAATTCGTTGAGGGAAGTGACGTGGTCGTGGAAAGCACGCCTGCTTCACAACAGCTCCGCCTCGTAAGCGCCTAATCGATTAATTTCTTAATTATTAAATTCCTTCTTTTTCGCAATTATGTTGTCTTATTTATTTATACATTTCATTTTACTAAATAATTATAAATTATCCCATCTTTCTTTCTTTTCTTTTATTTTTTAAGCTAAATATATATTTTAGTTAGTATTTTTTTAATTTAATCCTTTATGTCTTACCTTTTTCTATTTAATATTTCAACATTATTGGTGAATATTAAAATTTACTGGTGGTAAATTTGCATGGAACTAATCCCGATCAATTTATGGAAATTAAAAAAAAGTCAATCGGTCCACATTTGTTTACATTTTTTATTTGTTACTTTTTAAATTTTAAAAATAAATTATTTTCAAAATTTGTATAGAAATTTTAGAAAGAACAAAATCAAATGGTTTCTTATTATATATTTAGTATTTTTTTTCAAAACCATCAATAATAGCATTTTCAACAATTTATAAAATACATAATAAATACTAAAAGTAAATATAACAATTTTTTTAAGATTTAATATATAAAAATTAATTTTCTTATATAAATTTTATTTTTTTAATTTACAATTTTGGAGAAAGAGAAACCATAAATAGTTTCCAAATGTTCATCTATTTTTATTCATTTTATTGTTCATTCTTTTTACTACAATATGTAGGGATAGAGGATTAAACTCACAACCTCTAAGCTTAGCTCATTTTGACATGTATTTTTATTTATTAAAAAAAATGAAACCAGAAACAAAATGTATCATATAAGTTTATCTTAGCTAATTTTAATATATACCAATAATGAAAGACTAAATTAGACAAAAAAGAAACATAAGGAACTAAATTGAAAAACAGATAAATATTAAAGACTATAATATATATTTAGCATTTATTTATAATGAAATTAAAACTTTAAAACCCATCCAAGAAATAAATTAATCTCTACCTAATTAACATTTGTTAGAAGATTCATCTATTTTGAACAGTTTTTTTTGAAGGATAGAACAGTAGCTTTTAATGTACTCAGAAAAAAAAAGTAGTTTCTATAATAACATGTACTTTTGCATGAAAAAACTAATAATTAATACCATATATTATGACATTAACAATAAGCTCTCTAATTGGGATGTTCATTTTCTTACGTTTTAAAGATGAATAGTAATAGGGGAGTATAATTTAATATTTATAAATGTAGATATTAGAAATTATTTAAAATTTTATTTTAGATCCATGTATTGTGTAGATAGACTCTTGTTATGGTTTGATAAATATTGATAAAAAAAAACTCAATTCATTTATGGTTTCAAGTAACTGAAAATTTAATGTGAATAAATTTGGTGTAAATAATRTAAATGAAAAAACTAAATCCAACGTATTAATGACTGACATTGACACTATGTTTCTTTCTTTGTCCTATTTATAATGGAAGATCTAAATGTAATAAATAAAAACAAAAAATAGAGGGATTCCTTTTATAAAAATAAATAAAATAAAATTACTAGTTTAGTCCCCTGTAATATGTCACTTTATTTTTTTATTTTTTTGTTTAATAGCAAGATTATTGATCTATTCTAGATTTTTTTTATATTAATAAATTTATTAGACATAAAATTAAATTTTATGTCCAACGTATAGCTATTTCGTTTTTAGTTTTATGTTTGAGGTGAACCGGCATAATTTTTAAGCTCTCGAAAATATATTTTAATTATCAATCAAATTTAAAAAGACAGACAAAATTTTTGAAAACTACTTATTTGATTTTTAAATTTTGGCCCAAAATTTGAAAATTAAAAAAAAACTATATAACAAAATAAATAAACACATAATTGAAAGTAATGTCTCAAAACTTAATATTAAAAGAAAAAGAATCAGAAAAAAAATTGTTATCAAATGGAGTTTAAACTTTCAATTTTTGTCCAATAAATTTGTGAATTAAATAAAAACGTCATATAAATAAAAAACTATTAAGCACAAATTTGAAAACTAAAATTCATATAGATACAAAATTAAAAATTTGAAGATGTATTAAAAATATATATAATTGAAAGTTCAGGTCCTCAAACATTTGGTACGTGTGTATATATTATATATACGGCAAAAAAAAAAAGGGAAATCGTACGAAAAGGAAAAATGAAAGAAAAGCTGAGTAAGTTTGTTAATAACCGAAAAAAAAAAGAAATTCCGTTAATATTTTAGAGGCGGGGAGCAGTGGGGCCCACGGGGGTGGCATTGTCTGAAAATATCACGTGCAGGATGTGTCAGAAATCACGTTCCTGGTTTGGCGTCTATGACGTGGCGCTTCTGCAAAAAGCTGTCCCCCTTCCACCACAGTTAACCGTTTACAGTTAACTGCTAACAAAAAATTAAAGATTTTTTTTTTTATGATTCACCAAATAGGGTTAAAACTTTAAACAACCCTTGAATTTATAAGTTTATAATCTATAAGTTTAGTTGAATAAAAAATAGAAAAAAGGATGAATTTCCCATAAGTAAAAGAAAGAGTTTTAACAGCTATTTAACATAACATCGAGTTGAAATATATAAAACTAGAACCATCAAATTGAAACGAAACTTAAACTATAAAGATTTAATTTAAAAATGTTCCTAAATTTTGGATTATTTTGCTTAATAGTTTTTTAATTAAAAGAATGTCTAATATATTTATAAGCTTTCAATTTTTTTTTTATCTACCAAGTCCCTTAAATTTTGGAACAAAAGGTCACGAATTCAAATTCTCATACTCACATGTTGTATTAAAAAAAAAGTCTCATAAATTTTCAATTTCGTATCTAATAAATTCGTATAATTTATAAGACACATTTTGAAGTTCATGGATGTGTTGAACACAAAACTGAAAGTTAAGCAACTTATTAAACATTTTTAAAACTTTAGAGATATATTAGACACAACATTGTAATTTCAGATATAATCTAATAAGRCACTTTAAATTTCGTGTGCCAAAATTATAATTTATTGAGTTTAACGACACGGGAAACCACTAATATTTTAGTCAATAATATATATCTATGTTAATTATGTTATGCATGCTCCTTAAAGATAGGTTAATAATTAAAATAAAAGAATTAAAAGTCTTTAAATAAAATAATATAAAAGAAGGGGGCGCGTGGAGTGACGGAACAGTTAAAGGSAGACGGTTAGAAATAAAACGACATAATTAGGGCGGCCAGGCATTGGAATATTTTCGAAATATCTCCTAGCTAAAACCTAAGTGGGGCCCACCTATTTCCTTTAATTTTTTATTTTGTTATTATTATTTTCTTTTTGTGGCAAAGGAATTTCTAAGATATCAGTTGTGGAGGAGGGAAGGCCTAGGGTTTGGATCATTCCACGTCTCTTGGCTTTTGGCGCTGTCCAAAGGTTTTTTTTTTAGTCTTTAGTCTTTTTTACGATGATAAAATATTGTTCATGTCAAACCACAAAGTTTCTTCGATTYCCTTACTCAACTAGAATGATAATGAGAGAAAATCAAAATTTGGGTTGAGACACTCGCATGCACAAAAAGTCTACGTGTCATTGTGGTGTAAACCAAACAACGCCTCAGTTAATAAAAAGTTTTGTTGACAGTAGAAAAAAGTCAGATGGCAGAATGTATTTCTCACACTCAAGGTCTCTCCTCTTGATGAAGTCTTTTTGGATTGGTTCGGGAGGACCGATTCAGCTTGGCCTTGACCAGTTTGAACCTGCCTGAATTTTGCATGGTTCGAATAGCCAAACCCTCATCTTATCGAGTGGTTGATAGCTCCCAACCAAATCTGGTCGGGTCGAGCATTCTCGTCTTAA